AGCAAGAAGTGGGATCATTACAGGTTTGGTGTAGGAATATTCCCAGAAACTACCTCACCCAACTACTTCAGTGGGACCTTTCCCCTGTGAAAAGCTATCCAGAGGAAGTCAGATTTGGGTCCCATATGTAGAGGTGGGATGGTAATCCCACTTGGTAATTACCCATCAAGTCACTCTGGCACTTGGTCTTCAGTTCTGTGCAGTCCTGACTCTTACCATACTGCTTAAAGGAGTATTTATTCTAACTGCCCATCCACCTGGATTCCTGAATCTGTCTTGATAATCCTAATGCTATATTCTTTCCACCTGTTGGACTTTTATGCAGGTGAGACTGTCTAATTGGCTTCTGCCTCAGCTTCCCACCCTAGTCATCAATTATACGTTGAAAATAGGGTCCTTCCCCTTATCCACTATGTATTTTTTCCTTCAGTTCTGTCAATATTTGCTTCATATATTTTGGGATTCTTTTGTTAGGTGCATATATGTTTATTTATGTCTTCTTGATTAATTGACTCTTCTATTAATATGTAAGGATCCCTGATGGTACAACTGTTAAACACTTGTCTGCTAACCTAAAGGTCAGTGGTTTGAACCCACTCAATTTCTTCACAGGAGAAAAGACCTGTGGATTAGCTCCCACAAAGATTTCTGCCTGGGAAACCGTATGAGATAGTTCTACTGTGTCTTACAGGGTCACTATGAGCTGGAATTGGCTTCATGGCACCCAACAACAGCAACAATAATATGCAAAATTCTTAACTGTCTGTTGCAGCAGTTTTTGACTGAAAGTCTATTTTATCTGATAACAGTTTAGTCACCCCAATTCTCTTTTGGTTACTATTTACCCAGAATATCTTTTCAGATTCTTCACTTTCAAATTATTTGTGCCCTTAGATCTAAAGTGAAAGTCTTGTAGACAGCGTATAGTTGGATCTGCCAATCTCTTCCTTTTCATTGGAGACTTTAATCCATTTACATTTTCAATAATTACTGAAAATAAAAGCTCACTTTTCTTATTTTGCTATTTGTTTTTTGTATGTCTTATTCCTTTTTGTTGTTCTTTTACTCCATTACTGCCTACGTCTGTGTTTAATTGACTTCTTAGTGAATAAATTTTATTTCCTTTTGTGTATTTTTTAAATAGATATTTTCTCTCTGATTACCATAGGGATTACATTCAGGCAACATCCAGAATCACTGTGGTCTTTCTTTGTGGTGCAATACATAGCATGCAGGCATTAAAAAAGAAAAATAGCATCAGTGTCTGTAATGGGCCTTTCAGTAGGGTGAGGTAAGTAGCAATGACTATATCTTCCCTGTACCACTCTCCCTGTACCATGTGTTCTGCTCCAGCCACACTGAGTGGGGCTGCCTACTGTTCCTCAAACTTGAAGAACACACTCCTACCTTGGGCCTCTCTCTGGCTGGTCCCCCAGCCAGGAATATTCTCCCTTCAGGTATCTGCTTGACTAACCCCATTGCTTCCTTCAAGTCTTTGCTCAAATGTTACCTTCTTAATGTGTTTTCTCCCCACCTTCTTATTGAATACTCCCACTTTCTTTTCTCTCTCTTGACTATCTGATTCCCCATCCAGCTTTTTTATTTTTCTGTAACCTTCACTATCTTCCAACACACCTACCTGTATATTACATTTACTAACATTTGCTACTCAGTGATTCTGTTTCTCTTTCTATATTTTCCAGATTGTCCACAGTAAACAAAAATTATTCTATCAAATCTAGGGGACAGAGAATACTTTATTTAAAACATCACAGAGATGCTCTGTGCATTTAATGAGTCTAGTTCCATTTTTCCTTTGTAGTTTAGATTAAGAACTTTCTCTCCACTGCTGTTTCATATATGCCAAGATGGTTTCCAAAAATATAATAAGAAAAAGAAGAAACAGAAACTACCTCACCCAACTACTTCAGTGGGACCAAGCTTTTGACCAACACACTGTTGCAAGGCGAGTTTGGGCTCACATTTGTGCGGGTGTGTGTGACCTGAGCTGCTCTCCTCCTGAGTGCCACTCCAGGCACCTTCAGTGCATTTTGGATATATTTTTAAAATTCTGAAGCTTTTTGTTTTTAAACTTTATTTTTGAGAGACAGACTTCAGGTTTTTTTTTGAAAACATGCTAGAATAATTTGATGCTGTCTTACTTTAATTTCCATTAACTGACAATTATCAAGTCCTTACGGTGCAAGGCACCAGACAATGTGAAGAAGGGATACCAAGGTGATTGTAGCATGCCTCCTTTTCCAAAAGCATCACCTCTCAGGGATAAAAAATGTGCTCCAGGAGTTTAAAGGACAGAGAAATCAATCCTGACTCCAAGGTGACATTTGAAAGCTGGGGTTGAGGAATGCCTGTTTGCAAGCCTTTTTCAGAGGAAGCAGTTTACTCCTGATTCTCAATACTAGTTTTTCTAGCTTCATAATAATTTATATCGATAAAGAATAGGAGTTGTGGAACATGTAGAACCTCTAGGTCAAGAGGACTGAAATTTGTTATTTTGGAATCTAGATAATAGAACACATTCATCCTTCCTGACTTGGGTTATGCTGTCTCTAAATTAGCAAATTTTCATGATTTAAAAATGATATACAAACTCCAGACTGGCTCCAAACCTGCACACAGATATGTCTCCTTCGACATACCTAATAGTACTCACTGACTTAGTCCTTTTTCAAAATTGAATTGTTTTCTAGAAAGTCTTTGATTAAATTCTGCTTTATAGACCTAAAGAACCCTACATTTACCATATACTCTTACAGTTTTTTCCCCTTTTGTTGAAAAAATATAGATAAATTACTAGTTTTCTTTTGTGCTTGAGAATGTCATATCAAATCTGCATGCACTTTTCTCGGAATGATATTTGTAACAAATGTGACACTTGCCCAAGTCCCGTGAGAAAACTGGACAGAGAACAGCTTATGAAGAGAACCACAAACAAGATGATGAAGTTATGCCTGGGAGTCCTTGTCGCCAAGTACATGTGGCTCCGAGGAGCTTATAATAGTGAACAAAAGCCTCTCCCTTTTAAATTACATACCCAGATATTGTCAAAACCTTTTCTGTTTGTTTCCCCAAAAATGAATAGGCAGATCTACTTGGAGAGATGAAAAATAATTATCTCACAGTTAAAAGGCAGCAATTGATGATGTAAAAACTGAAAATATAAAATATTGTTCAAGTAAATAATGAAGAGTTTTAAAATACCTTTTATTTCTGGTCTTCAAGTCCCTTGGCATTTGGAAATTTCTCCTTCACTACTTAATTTTAAAGAAAACAAAAATCAATCTAGTTTGGAGGAGGAATCACCTTCAATTTAAGAAAACATTGAAATCAGTAGCAAATAAAATACGATAAAAATTCAGGCACACAGGCTCTTGAGAAATCAGTAGACTTGACAAGTGATGGAGATCAGAGATGTACTATGGCCGTCCTCTCCTTTTTAGTGGAGCCACTTGAATCGCAGCTTATCTGACAAAATCCTCATTGGCTTCTGAAATATCTGGTAACAGCCATGAAATCAAAGACACTGAAATGTTTGTCCATTCTGAATGAACTGGGAATTTCTCCTTGCTGATTGACAGTCCTCACTGAATGGACCAGGGGCCAGAAGCAAAGGGCCTCATAACATTGTATACTAATTAAATAATTATTTCAACACATATTTATGGATCTACTCTGTACCATGCACTGGTGGTAGCCAATGGCTGCTTGTTTCTCGACCTTGGTCTTAACCCCATCCCAGCTTGAGCATGCAGACCCTCCCTCCTAAGATGGTGACCTTGAGAGAGTTTGAGCATGGCTCTTGATGCCCCACTCTTGTTTTCCCACAGCTTAAGGGTCTGAATGGTGGGAACTGCTGGTTACCCTGAATGCATGTTAATTCCTAGAGCAAATGGACTCATAGTGTCATCCTTGCACCACCTTTTCTGATTTCTCATTTTCCTGGATTGAATGTGGGATCATAAGTTAGACCAACACACTGCAAACCCTACTACATGGGGAATATTTTTAATGTGGGAAAGAAGTATTTGTCCAGGTAGTTGCTGGTCATACTTTGATGGGAAATATAATAGCAAAGCATATTGTGTTATGTGCCATTGAGTCAGCCCTGACTCATAGCGACCCCTCCTTGGGTTTCCGAGGCAGTATCACTACGGAAGTAGGATTGCCCAACCTTCCTTCCGAGGAGTGGCTGGTGGGTTTGAATCGCCAGCCTTCTGGTTAGCAGTCAAGTGCCTTAGCCACTACCCTAACAGACATTTTCATGCAAGGTACTGTTCAAAGAATCAATTGAGTTGTTCCTCAGGAGGAAGTTTCAAAGAGAGTGAAGTTGCTTTGGAGGAAACATGAACCTTTTTATAAGAGGTTAAGAATAGGGGGTCAGCACAAAAGGGGGAGCCCCTCAATGAGATGGATTGACACAATGGTTGCAATAATTGTCTCAAACATAGCGATGATTACGCAGATGGCACAGAACCAGGCAACTTTTCATTCTGCCATGCATAAGGTCACTACGAGTCAGAGCCTACTCAGTGGCATCTTACAACAAGAGCAGGAAGTCCCTGGGTGGTGCAGAAAATTCATGTGCTTGGCTGTTAACCAAAAGGGTGGAGGTTCCAGGCCACCCAGAGGCATTATGGGAGAAAGACCTCCTGAGTTACTTCTGAAAAACCAGCCACTGAAAACCCCATGGAGCAGTTCTCCTGACACCCGTGAGTTCTCCATGAGTTGGAATTGACTCCATGGAGCTGGAACTGGAAGAGTGGGGTAGCCACCTACTGAACCACTGTCCACTCTTTTAAAGTCTTAGGGAATTTTAAACAAAAGAAGAGTGAACTGTAGTATTAAGTATATATATAAGTATAGGCACAGAGAATCAACAAAAGCATAAATGATGGAGAAAGAAGTGTTATAAATCTGGCATCTATATATCAGATTCACTGTCATCACACCCTCAGGAAGCCCCATGGGCCCCTAAGATATCAGAGAACTTCAGCTGTTCCTTTGCTTCCAATGGCCTTCCTCAGACCACCTTTGACATCTTTGTTCCTAAGGGTGTAGATCAGAGGGTTGAGTAAGGGGGTGATAAATGTGTAAACAAGGGCAAATTGACGATCCTCATCCACTGAGGAGCTGGACTGGGGACGCAGGTAGACCAGGGCACAACAGCCATACTGCAGCAAGACCACCATAAGGTGGGAGGAACAGGTGGAGAAGGCCCGGCGGCGGCCTTCAGTGGAACGGATGCGTAGGATGGTCAGTGTGATGAACGAGTAGGACACTGAGATAAGGATGAAGGGGATGGTCAGCACAAGGATGCCGACCACATAGAGGACAGCCTGGTGCACATGGGTATCAGCACAGGCCAGGCGCAGGACTGGAGGAACGTCACAGAGGAAGTGGTTGATTTCCCGGAGATGCCCACAGAAGGGCAACGTGAAGATTAAGACCGTGAGCTGCAAGGAGAGGAAGAGTGCCAGGGCCATGGCACCAACCACCATCTGGACACATAGCTTCCGGGTCATGACAAGGGTGTAGTGCAGGGGGTGGCAGATGGCCACGTAGCGGTCATAAGCCATAACCGCCAAGAGAAAGCAGTCAGCACCTCCAAGCATGAGAAAAAAGAACATTTGGGCCGCACAGCCAGCCAGGGGAATGGGCTTCTGGGCCCCAAAAATGTTGGAGAGCATCAGGGGCACCACGACGGTGGTGTAGCAGATCTCTATGAAGGACAAGTTGGACAGGAAGAAATACATTGGGGTGTGGAGGGATCTCAGCGTGCACACCACCCAGATGATGGCTGTGTTGCCGCAAAGGATCATCAAATAGAGGAGGAGGAAAAGAAGGAAGAGGAGGGCTTGAATTTCTGGGACTGTGGAGAACACACGGAACACAAACTCAGCGGGGCCGGACTGGTTGAGGACAGGGTTCCGGGCAAACATTTTTCCTGCAAAAGAAGAATAGAAATATTTGCTGAGTTGCTCACTTGCTTGAGTAAAATAAAGTTTTGTTTCGGATGTGGGAATTGCCTATTTTACTTCAAGATTTGAATCATAATAAAGGATATGGCATTATTTTCCTGAGAAATCTTCAAGTGTATGTTCCCGAAAACAAAACAAAACAGTCTTCCAAAGTGTCTTTAAGAATCAGAATTTTAAACATAAGTTCATCTGGACTAGTTCTTTGTTTCTGTTTATGATTCATAGATGTATAATTTATTTATTATACAGATAAATTAAAACTTTGGGAGATAGGTTCATATTGATCTGAAGGTCTTAGATTCACAGGGGGACTGATTAAGCACAATTTATTCCAATCATATCCTGAAATTGGCTACTTATTTATTTTTCCTCACTTGAGTATTTTATTAAATCTTTATTTCCTCACTTCAGTATTTTCTTTAATCTTTAATTCAGTTTCTTTACATTTCAATCTTTAAGTGTTAGAGTTCCAACAGACTAGCATGTAAGGGTGCATAGCAGGCAGAGATGGGAGTAGAATTATGTGAGATAAGGAAAGGTGATGAGGAAATGAGAAATTCCGTAGCAGAGAGAGAGAGAGAGAGAGAGAGAGAGAGAGAGAAATGTTTATCTACCTACAAAATAACTAATTTCAGGCAAGTTTGTCTGTACAATATCCTTTTTGTAACAGAAAATTCCAGAAGATGATTCAAAGTATTTTAAGGAAAACAAATTCTGACCAACACAAATTCTAACTCTATACTGAGTCAAGTTGTCATACATGTAGGAGCATTAAAAAACATTTTTTCATATTTGAAAAGGCTCTGGAATGGTATTATTTACATCCTATTCTGAAAACAAGGAGCTCTGGTAGCCTAGTGCCTAAGGCACTTGACTGCTAACCAGAAGGCTGGTGGCTCAAACTCACCAGCCACTCCTCGGAAGGAAGGTTGGGCAATCTACTTCCTTAGTGATACTGCCTCGGAAACCCAAGGAGGGGTCACTGTGAGTTGGGTCCAACTTGACAGCACATAAGAACAACAACATTCTGAAAACAACAACTCCAACAGTTATCTAGTTTGTTAGGTTGTTGTTGCTGGGTGTTGTCCAATCAGCTCCAACTCATAGCAACCCTATGTACAACAGAACAAAACACTGCCCAGTCATGTGACATCATCACAATCTTTGCTATACCTTCACAATCTTTGCTAAGCCCACTGTTGCAGCCACTGTATCAATCCATCTTCTTGAAGGTCTTCTCATTTTTTGATGACCCTCCACTTTACCAAGCATGATATCCTTCTCCAGGAAATGATCCCTCCTGACCACATGACCAAAGTAGGTGAGACAGACCCTGGCCACTCTTGCTTCCAAGGAGAATTCCAGCTGCACTTCTTCCAGGACACATCTGTTCATTCTGCTGGCAGTCCATGGTACTTTCAATATTCTTTGCCAACACCACAACTCAAAAGCATCAACTCTTCATTCTTCCTATTTACTGACCAGATTTCACATGCATATGAGGTGATTGAAAATACCACAGCTTTGGATACGTGCACCTTAGTCTTCAAGGAGACATCTTTGCTCTTCAGCACTTTAAAGAGGTCTTTCGCAGCAGAATTGCCCAGTTCAGTATGACGTCCAATTTCTTGACTGCTGCTTTCATTGGTGTTGATTGTTGATCCAAGTAACATGAAATCTTTGACAACTTCAATCTTGTCTCCATTTATCATGATGCTGCTTATTGGTTCAGTTGTGAGGATTTTCATTTTTTTTTTTTTAATGTTGAAGTATAATCCATACTGAAGACTGTACTTTTTAATCTTCATTAGTAAGTGCTTCAAGTCCTCTTCGCTTTCAACAAGCAAAGTTGTGTTGTCTGCATGTTGCAGGTTGTTAATGAGTCTTCCTCCAATCCTGATGCTGCATTCTTCTTCATATAGTTCTGCTTCTCAGAGTATTTGCTCAGCATACAGATTGAATAAGTATGGTAAAGGATACAATCCTGACACACATCCTTCCTGATTTTAAACCATGCAGTATCCCCTTGTTCTCTTCAAAAGACAGCCTCCTTCCTGGTCTATGTATATGTTCCTCATAAGCATAATTAAGTATTCTGGAATTTCTATTCTTCTCAATGTTATCCATAATTTTTTATGATCCACACAATCAAATGCTTTTGCAAAGTCAATAAAACACAAGTAAACATCTTTCTGATATTCTTTGCTTTCAGCCAAGATCCATCTGATATAAGCAATGATATCCCTTGTTCCACATCCTCTTCTGAATCCAGCTTGCATTTCTGGAAGTTCCCTGTCAGTATACTGCTGCAACCTTCTTTGAGTTATCTTCAGCAAAATTTTCCTTGTGTGTAATATTAATGAGGGAGCTCTGGTGGCATAGTGCCTAAGGCACTTGACTGCTAACCAGAAGGCTGGCAGTTCCAACCCACAAGCCACTCCTCGGAAGGAAGGTTGGGCAATCTACTTCCATAGTGATACCACCTCAGAAACCCAAGGAGGGGTTCCTGTGAGTAGAAATTGACTCAACGGCAATGAGGTGTTTTTTTTTTTTTTTTTTTTTGATTGATATTAATGATATTGCTAGATAATTTCCACATTCTGTTGGATCACCTTTCTTTGGAACGGGTACAAATATGAATCTTTTCCAGTCAGTTGGCCAGGTAACTGTCTTCCAAATTTCTTGGCATAGATGAGTAAGTACCTCCAGTGCAGCATCCGTCTATTAAAACATCTCAGTGGATATTCCATCAATTCCTGGAGCCTTATTTTTTGCCAGTTTCTTCAGTGCAGCTTTGATTTCTTCCTTGAATACCATTGGTTCTTGATCATATACCACCTTCTGGTGATATGATAGCTGAACATAGACCAATTCTTTTTTGTACAATGACTGTGTACCTTTTTCATCTTTTTTTTTTGATATTTCCTGCATCTTTCAATATTTTGCCCACAAAATCTTTCAATACCACAACTTTAGGTTTGATTTTTTTTTTTTTCTTTAGTTCTTTCAGCTTGAGAAATGCCAAGCATGTTCTTCACTTTTGGTTTTCTAACTCCAAGTCTTTGTACATTTCATTATAATAATTGGCATCGTCTTCTCAAGCTACTCTTTGAAATTTTCAGTTCAGCTCTTTTGTCATTTCTTCATTTGCTTTAGCTACTCTTCATTCAAGAGCATATTTCAGAATCTCTTCTGACATCCATTTTGGCTTTTATTCCTTTCTTGTCTTTTTAATGAAATTTTGCTTTCTTCATGGATGATGTTCTTGATGCCATCCCACAATTCTTCTGGTTTTCGGTCATTGGTGTTGAATGAATCAAATCTGTTCTTCAGATGGTCTCTAAATTCAGGTGGGATATAATCAAGGTCATATTTTGGTTCTCATGGACTTGTTCCAATTTGAACTTCCATGTGAGCAATTGATAGTCTGTTTCACAGTCAGCTCCTTGCCTTGTTTTGGCTGATTGATTGTTAGGAAAACCAAAAACCAAACCCACTGCCATTGAATCAGATCTGACTCATAGCGACCCCTCCTTGGGTTTCTGAGGCAGTATCACTATGGAAGTAGATCGCCCCATCTTCCTTCCGAAGAGTGGCTGGTGAATTTGAACCACCAGCCTTCTGGTTAGCAGTCAAATGCCTTAGGCACTACCCCATGAGAGCTCCCTCACCACATCAGAAGACAGGTGTTAGAATTAATAAAAGAACCTCTTAAGATCACACTAATAGTTAAACAATTTCTACACAGTCACCTAATAAGATTAAATACCTTTCTCCTTTCCCTCTGTGAAACATAGTGTCTGGTGTGGACAGCATGCTGAACTGGAGGCTGGTAGACTTCATTCTAGTACATCTGAACACTTCTACTCCCACCAATTGTGGATTTTGCTTGTTGAGAAAATTGTGCTTGTTTCTAACTCTAAATAAGCCATATATACTTGATAATGTAAACGTTAATAAAATGGTGCATAAAAAGTGAAGAGCAGTGTTGAACTATGGATGTTATTCTTTCAAGGACATGAATTTGAACATTTTGGAAATATTTGATGAAAGTAAGGTGCAAACAAATAAAAATTTATGGATGAGTTAGCCAAAGTAGGCCGGACTACTGTCTATGGTTGAGGGAAAAATCATGAAAATCTTGGCTGATTCACCATGCATTTTATTTCAATGAGTGCCCTTACATTTCCAAGGAGCTCTGGTGGTGCAGCATCTAAGGCACTTGACTGCTAACTAAAAGGTTGGTGGTTCAAATCCACCAGCCACTTTGTAAAAGGAAGACTGGGCAATCTAATCTACTTTTGCAAAGATTTACCACCTGGGAAACCCAGTGGGGGACGCTTTGAGTTGGAATCGACTCGATGGCAGTGGGTTTGGTTTGCTTATCTTCCATTTCAATTCCATGTTGTATACTCTGATATTGAAAATTGAAGACAATGATTTGTGAGTGTTGTTCATATAAGAATGACTTCAGTTTGTACTAGTCATCTGACCAAAAGTCACAAAAAAGCATTGGTCCCACTTCCTAAGTTTGGGGTAAGACTAAATATTTATATCTTTTAAGTTAAAAATTTAAAGGATATGTTCATTTGAAAATGAGTTCTCTCTGTAAATAACTTTTCAATTAGTTTATCAAGAACAAAACCCAATTGCTTTGGATAAGAGGGTTTTTCTTTCACATAAAACCCAAAAGTTTTTCTTGATACCAGCAATCATCAACTAGAGAATTTTATTTCCAAAAGCAATACAGATATAAGATATCAATAAATATAGCATGTAATACATAATCAAAATTTAAAGCAATCATTATAGTATTTTTTTTTCTTGATGGGAAAATATTTTAAGAATGTATCTTCAAAGTAATGCAACCATTTGGTGACAATCTGATAAAAGTCTCAACAGGATTTGTGTGTGTGTGTGTGTGTGTTGCTAGAGTGGGTGTGGGTGTGCATAGGTATGTA